GCTCTCTGTGCCTGATATGTCCTCTAAGAGTGGCCTCTAGTCCTTCTCCTTCCCCTAAACCAGGCCAATTTCCTAACGGTTCTACCAAATGGAGAGAGACAAGGGGAGAGGAAAAGAGAGTAGCTTTCCAGCCTCCACCATTGCTGATCCCAAGGAAAGGAGCGCTAAGCTTTCCATTGTCAAGACATCCTCTTGGAAAAAAAGTGCAGGTAAATTTTCAGATGTGATATTCTTTGTTGAAGAAAGCTTTGCGGAAAGTCCAAGCATCAAACAATTTCACATTAATCCCTTATTTCTGAATGTGCTGCGTTATCTTTATCACAGGAAATCAGCCTCGGCTGCTCATCTGCTTGTTCAGAAGTGACTGTCCTTGTAGAACCTCATCTTGGATTGAGTTTTCTAGACCCTCACACTATATTCCTGAGTTATGACATAACCAAGGGACCTGGTGGCTAGCAACCACCTTTCCTCTGAGGAACTGATGATTTGATAGTAAAATGTTAAATTAACTGAACAGGTTGAAATGAGCTTCAGTCAACATGAAGGTGTCCCAAGGCCATGTAATCCCATCTACATCACTCTGACTCTCTAGTCCCTTCCTTTCACTGCTTTTCTGTTCAGTTCTTGTGTCTTATTTCAGAAGATACTGGGAATTTTAGGAACGTCAATGCTTTTATGTGGCCCAACACACTGGGAATCCGTTTCTCACCTGGGTGCCACTGCTCAGCACATGATTGCTTATAAGAGTCATGTCATCAGCTCTAGTGAGACAATTAAATAAGGGTTGTAAGAATTACACTTGGGTCTGTGTAAGGATCCCACATTTCTTCTGAATTTGCTGCTTTTCAGAGTTTCACTCTTCAGTCACAGGTCTGAAATTCAAATACAGATTTTCCTTGCTGTGGACAAGATATTTACTTGCTTTTCACAAGCATCTACATTCATATTCCCAGAATGGCAAGGGGGTGTGTGGACATTTTGATTGTGAAAGGGCAGTTCTTCCAAGAGGATTAAAGGTTCTTCTTTCATTCATCTGGGGAATTATAAAACAGGGTGGGTTACTGTTGCAGTGGCATCAGGATCAGCAAGGGCAGAGGCTGGGAAGTTACTCTCTTTTCCTCTCCCCTTGTCTCTCTCCACTTGGTAGAACCGTTAGGAAATTAGCCTGGTTTAGGGGGAAGGAGAAGGACTAGAGGCCACTCTTAGGGGACATCTTAAGCACAGTGTTCTTCCTTTGTCCCCTCTTTGGCCCAGTACGCATATTTTGCCTTTCATTTGCCCACATGAAGACTCCTGCCTACAATGTCCACCTGCTTTGCAGCTCTGCCACAGTAGAACAGCAAATGCCCATCTCTTCTATTATGCTATATGAAACTAAAAATATCAAGCCCACTGGAGTTACTTTGACATTAAAGATGTAAGTGAAATAAAAATCACTTTTGGAGCTTTTTATTTTTTATTTAATTTTTAATTAAAATCTTAATTCATTAGAATTTTGAAGCGATCTGAAAAATAGTTATAAACTATGCATATTTTCATTTCCAGTGCTGAGAGCATGAATAATGCAGGACAAAAGCTGTGTCTCCCCGTTTGTATGGCAGGAAGGGTTTTGTGCAGGACACCATCAGGCAACCAGAGGGCCGGGTGCCCCCACGTCGGCCGGCCGAGATGGCCCCGCGACAACCGCAGGCCCCTTCTCCCTGTGTGTGGGTGTAAACTCTCGCGGCACCGGGCCGGGCGGGAAGGCTGCTCTCTGGGGCCAGAGAAAGACGCCCGCGGCCTCCCGCGGCGCCTCGCCCGTGCCTTAGCTCTCCACACGGCCTTCCCGCCACTCGCCGTTGCCGTGGAAACCGGCTGCTGCTCCAGGGGTGGCTGTGGGTCCTGACAGGCAAGCGGCGCCCCGGATGCTCGAGGATGGAGCCTGACCAATTGAGGGGCGTCCCTGCAGGGTTGCGGTCCAGTCATAGCACTGCGGGGGAGCTGGGGGCCAGGCGCTGTGGAGCTGTTGGGCTGAGGGCTTGGCACCATGGGGGACCCTCAAGGGTGGGGGTCTGCCACCATGGAGGGCCCAGCGGGGTGGGCATCTGGCTGCAGAGGGGCCTGTGGGGCTGAGGCCCTGGCAGGACCCCCGAGAGCCACAGGGGATCAGCTGTGGTGAGTAGGGTGAGAGGAAGCATGTGTGTGCTGAGTGTGCTGTCCAAACCGTGCTACTGTGGCTGTAACACAGAACACTACATGTGATAAACACATAAATGTATTGGCTTTCACAAATCATAGGTGTGGTTATGTGGATATAACTGTACGAGTTTACAATAACAGAAACAAAGCTTGCTAAAGACTCAGGATTAGACAAGTTTAAAAGGTTCAGATCTCTTGATCAAAGCGGAGTCACATAGCAAAAGAATTTGTAAAGGTAAAAGAAAGAAGGGGGAGACTTGATATAAGGAAAGCTAGTGCCTGGAAAACATAGAGTTAAAGCACTTTTTAGCTTAATTTAGGTTGTAGAAAGAGAACAATGTTTATGTTGTAAGTCTGTGGAATGTAGTGGCCCCACTAAACATGAGTTAATTGTTTCACACTAGTCTTCTAAAGTATCTTTAGTTTTAAAGAAAAATGTTTGTGTTGTAAGTCTGTGGTGAGATAACAGGATTTAGTGGCCCCACTAAACAAAAATGAGTTATTTCACACCGTCCTTCTACTTATCAGTTAGTTTAGAGACAGAGCCTCCCAAACATCTGCTAGCTTGGGATACTCCTTGTCTGCCCATCCTGCAATAAATTTTGCAGGAAGGTCACACTGTTCTAAATCTTTGGTAGTTATCAGAAGAATTACAGATATGGCTGGTTTCAGCTAGTTGTGTGATTACTGGGGCATCCAACTGTGCCAAAGGTGAAAAGTACACTGTGAGGAAGACTGCTTACTTCATCCTCAAGGCCCCTACTCACAAGAAGAAGACTGCTTACTTCATCCTCAAGACCCCTGCCCACAGTCACCGGAGAGCAGTGCACAGATGCCAAGAGGAGGAGACTTATGATAATAAGTTCCTGGAGCAGTTTTCCTCTTGTGAGTAGGGGTCTTGAGTTGGCAAAGAACAAGCAGATAAACATATGGACTGATTCCAAATATGCCTTTGGTGTAGTTCATGCACATGGAGCAGTATGGAAAGAACAAGGACTTTTAAATACCCAGGGAAGACAAATTAAACATGCAACGGAAATGCTACTATTGTTAGAAGCTGTACAATTACCCAGTGAAGTGGCTATCATACATTGTAAAGGACATCAAAGAGGTAACTCTGATCAAGAGACTGGAAATAATTTGGCTGATTGTGAGGCTAAATGGGCAGCAGAAACAGAAAGAGTTGAGGTGATGTCCTTAATTCATGACGGTAAACTGGTAATTGAGCAAAATAAACCTAGGTACTCTAAAGAAGGTATGAAACTAATTGAAGACTTGGAAGAACAGGAAAATGAAAAGGGTTGGATAAAAATACCTGATGGGTGAGTAGTGATCCCCTATAATCAATTATGGAAGCTGATACAAGAAGAACATAACAAAACTCATGGGGGCGCTTCTTTGTATAAATACTTAAACAAATTGTAGGAAGGAAACTATATACTGTAGTTCAATTATTTACAATGGCATTTCTGTCTCAAGAATAATTGTAAAATTGAAAATAGAAATCAAATTGGTACAACTGGGGAGGAAGGTATCCGGGACAGCATTGGCAAATGAATTTTTCTGAGTTACCAGAGGTTATCAGTATTTGTTGGTGTTAACGAATACTTTTTCAGGGTGGCCAGAAGCATAGAACAAATAATGCAAGACAAGTAATTGGAACATTGTTAAACTATATAAAACCTTGGTTTGGAGTACCAGAGGCAATTTCTTCCCACCCAGGCTCCCACTTTACAAGAAATTAGCAAAAAATTAGAAACTGATTGGCAACTGCATGTTCCATACAGGCCTCAGGCCAGTGGGCAAGTAGAAAAGATGAACCATTGGATCAAACAACAGATCAGTAAAATATGTCAGGAAAAGAATTTATATTGGTACCAAGCTTTGCCACTGGCTCTATTAAGAATTTGAATTAAACCTTGTTCGAAAGAAGAGGTTATCCCATGTAAAAATTTTCTATGGAAGACCATATCAGTCCCAGTTTAAAGGAGAAAGTCTTCAGGAAGTGGGACAAGGCTATCTCCGAGAGTTTCTGGTCAACCTGGGAAAACAATTAGAAGAAATAAAAGAATATTAGGGACAAGAGAGAGATGTGTGGATTATCCAATTCACCCTTTTAGATCCAGAGACTGGGTTTATGTTAAGAATTTTTCAGGAGATCCTCTGCAGGAGAAATGGAGAAGACCGTACCAGATATTATTGACCACCTTTACAGCAGTGAAGATAAAGGAACAACCTGCTTGGATACGTTATTCAAGAATAAAGAAAGCAGCAGAACCAGAGAAGACATGGCGGATCGAACCTTCAGGACCCTTACGTATGAAATTGCATCAGTCATAATTTGGATTTATATGATAACTGGCGTACCAGCTTGGGACTAATACTTATACCTGAAATTAATGCAGACTAAAATTGTTAATTGTAGTGACTGTTGTGTGTGTGCACAGTGGCCTAAATCAGGAGAAAATCAGGACTTTTCATTAATTGGTGTTCCAATTTCCAGCACTATCTCATGGACAAATTTGTGGGTGAACACTAGCAATCTACGTCCGAGGGAAAGATTAAAATTTGGGATAGTTAATCCTAGTCCAAGTAAAGAATATTATACCTGTGTACAAAGATGTATTACACCAGGAACCAGAGTATGAGGTTGTTTGTTTAAATGCCACAGGTATACGTCACTATTCAAATTGCAATCACACTATTAATATAGATGGTATCTTAGTTCAATGGTGGCCCATTCGTAAAGGGAAAGGATGGTACTTGTTATGTGGAGAGAATGTTTATAAGACTCCACCCCCCAAGTGGAAGGGGGCATGCACCTTAGGTGCTGTGTTACCCAATCTTACTATTATTGACATATATCCTTCTGGAACCTGGGTTAGAAGTTTTGCTAAACTGATTAAGCAATGGTTTAATCCTATTGCTGAACGGAACAACACATTTCACAGTTTTGTAAGATGGCTGTTTCCATCTTTGGGAGTAAGCGAATTAGAGAAGGCAATTGTAAATATCTCAGCAACCATAGACGAAATAGAAAGTAAAACCATTGATATAATCCAAGTGGAACAAGAAGAGATAACTAGCCTATCTAAAGTGGTATTACAAAACCGAATGGCTCTAGACATGTTTTTGGCTTTACAAGGAAGGGTTTGTTCCATAATCAATGAAAGTTGCTGTTCCTACATAGATGAAACTGGCAGAATTGTAACAGATCTGGAGGAAATTTGGAAACAAACTAAGATATTTCATGAAATAGCCATGGATGATACCTCCTGGGTGTTTGAAGAAATATGGGAAATTTAAGTTCATGGTTACCTGATCTCTCCTGGTTAAGGCAACTGGTTGTAGGATTATTAATATCAATTGTTTTAATATTACTTATGGTATGATACAATGTTCCTTTTCGTATTGTAAATGATCTATGATGAATTATGAAGATTGGAAAAGAAATTAAATCAAGAATCAAGTAGAAACAGGAAATTATTTCAAAAAGACTCTAGATGGTAATGGTAGTATACAAAATGTTGCAAAAGAATTTGCAATAGGACAAGAAAAGGGGGGATTGAAGAATGGGGTTGATTGAAGAATAGGGTGGATTGAAGAATGGGGTTGATTGAAGAATAGGGTTGTAAATAAGTAACCTCAAGAACCTTAGGCTTTATTAGCAACTATAGAGAAAAGGAAATTATTAAGATAAGCTTTGCCAGAACCACCTGGTGTTTACTGATATGACTGATATGACAATGATCCTAAAACAAAGTGATGAAGAAATAACCACCAGGGGTCTGAAAGCCCACTACCACATTTTTGTATGCATACAGGAGGCATTCTCTAAAAAGTATGATGCAATGCATGTAATATAATGAATATGTATGTTTAAGGACAGTATAATCGCAGCCTGGTTGATGCTTTGGAGAGACACGCTTGGAAGAGTGATCCCCTGTGTCTCCTGGCGCTGCAATAAAGAATACCTGCTTGCCAACTTAAAACTTTGTTGGTGAGTTCCTGGAGTTTTCTCCGAATCACTGCTCATTTCAATCATTCCTCATTAGGTACTAAATGCTTGCTCTCCTCCTCTGTCAGTTGAACTAGTTGTAGTGGGGAGGGTAGGACCGGTACCTGCTTTTAGCTATCTCAGTAGATGAGCATTCAATTGGATCCTGGAAAGAGTAACAGAACTGATCTCTGCTGAAGGTCTTGCTCTCAGGGAATGGGCTATGCTGCTCTTGTAACGGTGCTTGGCTGTAGGGCTAAAGTTTGTAGTAGGCTCAAGGTTTTGGATATGCCTAAATGCTGGGATAAAGTTTTGTCAGGAGTCCTCAGGAGAAAAAAGGTGTTTTGAATTAACTTCTGATTTCATTTTATAGAATCATAAAATAGGGTTGGAAAGAACCTTAAGATCATCTAGCTCCACCCCCCCGCCATGGGCAGGGATAACTCACATTAGACAGTGTTGCCCAAGGCTCTGTCCAACCTGTCCTTGAACTTTGTCAGGGATGGAGTATTGACTACATCTTTGGGCAACCTGTTCCAGTGCCTCACCACCATCACAGTAAAGAACTTCTTATATCTAACCTGAACTTTCCCTGTTTTAGTTTAAGCCCATTACCTCATGTCCTATTGTGGCATTTCATGACATGGACTCAAGTTGATGCAGAGACTCAAATCCTCATTTATTACCCCCAAGCCCTTTTTATCCCCTTGTTTAGTACTTTCCAACCTGTACATACATACAGTGTTCAATCTCATTGGCCCCTGTAAAACTCTCCAGGTAAATAGTCCAATTACAATGTTGCAGACCCTCTCACAACCCCCACATCCTCTGGCCTTACGACTGAGATTCCCACCACAACTACATCCTGGCCCATCCTCCCAAGGCTTGCTTGTTTACCTTCCCTGTCCTTCAATGTTCCAACTCATCACCCCAGGGCTTGTCAAAGCACCAAGGCCTCAGAGCTCATTCCCAAACTTTTTCATGCAAATCTTATTGCCTTCACTCCCCACATCCAATCACTACAGTCCCTAATGAACAGTCCCTCCCCATCATCCTTGTAGGCACCCTTCAGATATTGGAAGGCTGCTATGAGGTCTCCACGCAGCCTTCTCTTCTCCAGGCTGAACAGTGAGATCAAGCCATTAGGCCTTAGTTGACATAACTTTGCTATTTAGCATAAGTAAAACATGACCGCACATGCTTAATAGAAACCCGTCTGCAAGTAGGGACCTGCCCTCCTGGTAGGGAATGATATGCATTGTGTTAGAACTCAGGCACGTAGACATCCTTGCATCTGCTACCATAAGTTGCTTCTAAGCAGGTGATGCGCGGATTGACTCCACAACTCGTTAAAGTTGTAAAGTAGGTATGCTTTTTATTCAGCGCTGAGGCGCACGGGGATAATTCCTCAAAGTCATGCGTGCCTCAGTGTTGTTTCCCTCTACATTTATTCTCTAAAGTTATATATATTCATAAGGTTGCACAACACGCCTATACATATTCATGTCCTATCCCCGCTTCGTATTATAATGAGCCAGAAGGTCCTCTGCGCCTGCGCAGTGCCCCCTCTGGTCATGGGCAGGGGTCTCAAGATGAAGTAAATGAGTCTTCCTCCTGTGAGTAGGGGTCTTCAAGATGAAGTAAATGAGTCTTCTTCTTCTTGAACTTTTCACCTTTTTAGTCTTCACGTATGGCCTTAGAGTTTGGTCGGTGTCCCAGCCATAAATCATCTGCTTCTCCCCCTTATCAGTAGATTCAGGCATCTGCCTTTCCTTATCAATAGGACCAGGTATCTACTTTCCTTATCAATAGGACCAGATGTCTCTGTTCTGCTTAGCAGGCATTTACAACAGACAATACTTTTGTTTAAGCAAGCAAATTCCTCTAACCCCCTTGTACAACCCCCCTGTACAACCCCCTTGTACAACCCCCCTGTACATTGGTCAGCCCTCTGCATCACAGGGACATCCCTAATGGCAAGATATGATAATAATTTGAATGAAGAACAAAGCATATAGCTCGCAGGTATTAGCAGTTGATCAATAATACTAAGCTAAAAGGTAAACATCTGTAAGAATCCTGATTAACAGTAGCCCATAGACTCTTGTTGTAGCCCTAACCCAAGTGCACAGTAGGATAAGAGAACTACAGTTATGTAACTTACCAAATTGTATGTATGGATGCTTTAGATATAATTTTATCAAGATGGAAGAGTAAGGTGTAAAAAACCCCTAAGATTTACTGTTCTTCGGATCCATGTATGGAGGCCTGAAACGCCAACATGCTCCTGGCGCCAATAAAGGTTTGTGCTTTACCTTTCAGTGCGTACTGTGGAGTGATTCCTTTGAATCAAGATGGCGAGATAAGCAGGATCCTCTCGGTTCGGCTGTGAGACCCTCTGGGGCTGGGGACCCTCAGGGCACCCCTGGAGTGTTGCAGAATGACTCTAAGAGCAAGGCCATGGATCCTTAGAGGCCTTGTGCGAGCAAAGCAAGGTGTAGGCCTCACAGGTAACCGGAAACTGGATGTGGGAGGAGAATGTGAAGGAAGCTGTGTAGAACTAACCAATACTATTGTGACTAGTAGGCGTGGCTAAACACCATGCAGATATAAGCGAAGTGCACCACAAATAAAGCAGAAGCTTGTTTATCACCCATATTGGGTTGGCGTGTCTTGCTTCTCCTCGCTGCTAACAAATGGCGCCCGAACAGGGCCCCGGACTACAGGGCCCCAGTTACCGGGGACCTGGAATACAGGGCTCCGGTTACCAGGGACCCGGAATACAGGGCCCTGGTTAACGGGGACCCGGAATACAGGGCCCCAGTTACCGGGGACCCGGAATACAGGGCCCCGGTTAACGGGGACCCGGAATACAGGGACCTGAGTAACAGGGACCCGGAACGGCGAGTGAGCGGCCCCGGCGGCAGCGCCCGGGGAGCGCGGGCAATGCTACTGCGGTGGTGTGACTGACCCAGGTGCTTGGACTGACCGAAAGGAGTCCGCCGCTGGGGCGAACCAGACACTGCTGCATTGGGTGGATGATCTGGAGACCAAGGTTACAGGATGATCCAGAAGAGGACGATCCAGAAAAGGCCGGCCATGAAAATGGACCGAGAGATAGCCCCTTATTTATTACAGTGCTTTTTATAAAAGCGGGGAATTGAGCCTGAGACTCTAAAGCAGCTAGCAGGTCTAGTGGCTGTAGGGAAGGCTAAGGGATATTTTGTAGATCCTAATACAGTTTTTGAGGAGAGTGAGTGGCGAAAGTTTGGTGATGAACTATTTGACTCAGTGCTTAATGATGATAAAACGGCAAAGAAACTTGGTAAGCCACGGAGAGAAGTAATAAATTGTATAAAAAGATGCAAGGCGGGAAAGAAAACTGCTGCTGTAGCAACGGAGAAACTAGGAACAGACGTCCCCAGTCAGTTGAAACCGGGGGAAGGTTACAACTCATTTCCCCCAACTCGCAGGGCGCTCCCAGTGCTTGGAGCACAGGGTTTCCCCCCCCTTCCTTTTCTCCCCCTCCTTCATCAGAAGGTGCAGCGGAGGAGGTGTAACCCCCTGCTCCCCCACCACCCCAGTTCCGAAAGTAGGGACTTTGAAAAGGACAGAGAAAGTATATTAGAAGGGATACGTATGATGAATGTCGAGGAAGCTGAAAGGAAGAGGGTGGTGCCTCGGCGCCGGATCGATTGGGGCGCCATTTTGAAACACGCAGTAGAAAATAGAGATTATGCCCTAGCGGGAGATTTGAAGGAACTGTGAGCCTTTCCAACCCATTATGCCCTAGAGGGGAAATTTTTAACTCAGTTACGGAGGAGCCAGGTCTGCAGATGGCCACATACCGAACGAGAGACATCTGACAAAAAAGACATATCTGCGAGCAACTGAGACCCTGAGCTCCCCCTGAATCCGAGCCAGATTTATATCCTCTGCTTCCAGACTCTGAGTCTTTGTCTCCCGGGTCGGTCTGCTCAGCTCATCAGCAACTACTCACTGGCCCTGGAGACACTCAGCTGCAACAATTGATGAAAAAGCTTGAAGCCCTTGAGACTCGGATTGACACATCTCCATCGGCGCCTCCACCTTATCCTCTGTAAAACCCCTTCCTTAAAGAAGGCAAACAGGGGGAGGGGGTGGGAGAGGTATTGGGGGGGCAAAAATCCTGCGCACTGTTGGCATGGGTCAATCAAAGATGCGATCATTACTGGTGAATTTTCTGCAATGGGCCTCTCTGCATATCCTGTGTTTACTGCACAGCAGGGGGCTAAAGACTGGGAAGCTTTTGATCTCAAACTAGTTAAGGAGGCCTGACAAGCAGTGACCACGTATG